CTGGAATCAAGAATAGGTGTTACACTGAATGTCTAGATCACTGTGGAGTGGTGCCATTTTGACAATGCGAAGTCTTCTGATCCATGAAATTGGGATGCTTTTCTATTCATTTATGCATTTATTCATTTCTTTTGACAATGGCTGATAGTTTTTGGAATATGTTTTATACTTTTTTTAATTTAAATATTTTATTCCTTTTGATTCTATTGTAAATGCATTCCTTTTCTTAATTTTATTATCAGGTTGTTCATTCCAAGTATACGGAAATACAATTGATTTTTATATTTCAATCTTGAATCCTACAACCTTGCCGAATTCAATTATTAGTTCCAATAGTGTTTTTTTTTTTTTTAAGTGAGATCCTTAGAGATTTCTATACACAAGGTACCTTATCTGGAAGTAAAGATAGTTTTATATCTTCATAACCAATCTGTACACATTTTATTTATTTTCTTAACTAAAGGTTCTAGCTAACATGTCCAGTAAACTGTTGAATAGAAATAACAAGAATAGACATAATTTGTTCCTTAACCTCAGGGAAAAGCATTCAATCTTTCACCATTAAATATAATATTAGCTGTGGGATTCCACAAATGCTCATAATGAAGTTTGGAGACTTTCTCCTATTCTGCGTGTGCTGAGTATTTTAATTCTGAAAGGGTATTGGATTTTATTAATTATTTTCTTTGACTGTATCAGGATGATCTTGCCATTTTTGCTTTTTACTCTACTGATCTCATTTTGAGATGTTAACACAACTTTTCATCCCTTGAATAAATCCCATTTGCTCATGGTGTATAATTCTTTGTACATTTTGCTGCATCATGTTTGCTAGTATTTGTTTGGGTTTTGCATCCATAATCACATAGAAACAGGTGTGTTAGGTTTTTTTCTTTGATAATGGCAGTTTTGGAATCAGAGTAGTACTGGGCTCAGAAAATGAGTGGAAACGGTTGTCTCCGTCATATTTTTTAAAGAATATGAAGAATCCGTACTAACTTTCTTTACAGAATTCTGGAGAACTGAAGCCATCTGGGCCTAGGCTTACTTTGTGAGTGGTTTGAGGTTTACTAATTCAACCATTTCACTTGTTATAGTTGTGGAAGAAAAAGGGGTCACGTACTAAACCTGACAAGCTCTGGAGAGGCCAACATGGTGGGCCTGACAGACTCAGAGACCAAAAGTAACCACACAGGATGGTCTGAACATAAAAATTCCCAACCAAAAGTGGGTCATTGCAGGTAGTCACACCCTACACCTGTAGCTTCTTTGATGAAGGTCAATCTTTACCTTAAGCGAGCCTTCTACTATCTTTCGGCATCTAAGACAACATTCCTTTGAAATGTCAGAGTAATCATCTTTTCCAGGCCCCTCAGGGCACAACTGCTGCACCAGAGCACAGAGGCCACAGAACCCCTCACTGTTACCTTGTTCCTGCATACCCTCTCTATGTGCTGTAAATGTTATTTATTACCTAGCCTGTACTCACCAATGTAACAAAAGTATGTGTTTCTCTATTTTGCTTTTGTATCTAATCCCAGAGATTTCCCTGCTTTGCCTTCTCCCACGCCCTTAATCTACCACAATGGACTTCATGTCACCCTCCTTACACCTCCTCTTTTTGTTCTAATATACAAGCTGCAGAACTGCCATGCTCTGGAGCATTTCTCAATCCTTTGAGATTTTGCTTCCTGGCAACTGCCATCAGTTTGGCTTAGATAAACTCATAAAAATTCTCTATAGGTTTGGCTGTTTCTTACATCGACACAGTTCTATTCAAATTTTCCTTTTACTCTTGAGTTATTTTCAGTAGTTTGTGCCTTTCAAGATCTTTGTCCATTTCATCTCAGTTATCTAATTTTTGACATACAATCATGCAATGAATTCCTTTTTAATCTTTATTGTCAGTAGTAATATCCCACTTTCTTCCTGATTCTTTGAGTTTGAATCTTCTCCCTTTTTTTTCAGTCATCCGCAGACCAGTGGGGACAGATGGACCTTGAGGATGGGTTCCACACAAACTACAGCTTCAGAGTTGCCTTTGTGTCAAGTCCTGCCCTTCATGGAGGCTTTGGCCCAGACACGCTGAGAAGACAGGTCTCCCTGCTCTGGGAGAGACCCCAGACTCCTTCAGCAGTATTTAAACTTACACTTTTAAAGCTTCTATGTGCATACATTATTTTGATAAAAATAACTATTAAAAAGCAAACTGTGTTTTAAAAAAGATAGACAATAACGAGCACTGATGAGGCTATAGAGAAACTGGCACCCTCATTTATCACTGTACAATTGTACAACCATTCTGGAATACGGCCTGGCAGTTCATTAAAATGTTAAACATAGATTTACCATGGGACCTAGTAATTTCACTCCTTGGTATCTATCCAGAGAAATGAAAACATACGTCCACACAAAAACTGTACACTAATGTTCATAGCAGCAATGTTCATAATAGTTCTAAACTGGAAACAACCCAAAATGTTCATCAACTGATGACTGGATAAACAAAATGTGGTATACCTATACAGTGCAATACTATACTGCAGTAAAAAAGAATGAAGTATTGATGCATGCTACAACATAGATGAACCTTGAAAACATTAGGCTAAGTGAAAAATGCCTGCCATAGAAGACCACACAGTGTATGATTCCATTTATATGAAATGCCCAGCAAAGGGAAATTTATACAGACAGAAAGCAGACTAATGGTTGCCAGGAGCTGGGAGTAGGAATGGGGAATGACAGCTAAAGATTTATGGAATTTCTTATTGGGGTGATAGATAAAATTCGAATATGGTGATGGGTGCACAACTCTGTAAATACATTAAAAATCATTGAATTTTATATTTAAAACAGATGAATTTTTCTGGCACATTAAGTTATACCTCAATAAAGCAGTTTTTTAAAAAGCAAATGATGAAGTCTATTTTTAAAAAAGAACTTGGAGATTGTAAACGATGTACTTTAATAAGTTATTATTATAACAATCCTGAAAAGTTGGTATTAAATCCTCTTTTTACAGATAAGAAGAAGTTAAGCAACTGTGTAATTAACAAAGATAGCAGAGTTAAAATGGGTGAGCATGCGCCCTAACTACATTCTCCCACCATTCTCTTATTTGTGACTACGGGGCCCTGAAGCACTGTGGGTAGGTCACACAGGGGTCTGAGTTAAGCTTCCTGTTACCCTAAATTCCATACAACCTAGCAACCTAGTCACCACATATGTGTAGAATACTGTTAGGCCTTAGACTTTCTCTCTTTAGAGACCACCATTGTAATATTTTGATTTATAAGACGAAACACATATTTGCTCTTAGTCTCCTTCCTGGCTTACAGCTCTCTGAACCCTGGGAATTCCCTGAGTGATAAGAGCAACAGGAGCATCTTCTGTTTAGTTGATCTTTTGTCATCAGTTCTTGAAATAGCTCCAGAGCCAAAATGTGAGAGAAATATGTTTAAGGATGGGGGATGGTTGCCAAGGAAACCAACCAGTGAGAGAAATATGTTATTCACAACAAACCCCTTTCAACTACACCTGCATTTATGATAATGAGGTAACTTTTGGAAAGCATTTAAGGATGGGGGATGGTTGCCAAGGAAACCAACCATACTTTGAGGGTTGAAACTTTCAGTTTCAGGGATAAGAGAGAGACTGGAGGGTGAATCAATCGCTAATGGCCAATGTTTAGTCAATCATGTCTATGTGATGAAACCTTCATAAAAAAGCCAAAGGACAGGTTCGGAGAACATCTGGGTTGGTGAACTCATGGAGGTGCTTGGAGGGTGGTGTGCTCAGAGATCATGGAAGCTCTGTGCCCTTCCTCCATACCCTGCCCTACGCATCCCTCCATCTGGCACTTCTTGAGTTACATCCTTTTATACTAAATCAGTAGTCTGGTAAGCAAAATGTTTTCTGTAAGCTGCTCTAATAAATTAATCCAACCCAAGGAGGGAGTCTTGGGACCGTGATTTACAGCCAGTTAGTCAGAAGCAAAGGTGACAACCTGGACTTGCGGTTGGCATCGGAAGGGGCGGGGGCAGTCTTGTGGGACTGAGCCCTTAAACCTATGAAATCTGATGCTTTCTCCTGGTAGATAGTGTCAGCATTGAGTTAATTGCTTGGAAGTGCTGGAAAGAGCACACACTGGAAATACGAAATAGAGACTACGTATGAGTAACTAAAAATATGAGTGAGCCAATCTTTGCCATAGGAGGCCAGAAGTTATCAAACGTTACTATTTAAAAATTAAACTTTGCCTCTCTCCACAGCTCTCTCTGGGGTGGTCTGGAGGGTAGGCTGTGCAGCCGCTCTGTGGGTACAAGTTGCAGTTCTGCTACTCAGCAGCTGAGGGACCCTGGGCAAGCTACTTAAGTCCTTCTGTGCCTCAGTTTCCTCATCTCTAAAGTGGAGATGAAAAGAGAATGTCTTCTAGAGGACTGTAAAGTGCTTAGAGCAATACTAAGTGCTAGGTGAATGTTTGCCATTGGCATTATTTTGTCTATGTATTTAAACGTGTCACTTAACTGTGCAGAGTCTCTCTATACTCAACTTTGCTACAAAACTACCCTTCGGCCCTTGTACAGACGGAGACAATGAGGTTCTGCATAGCAGAGGGCTGCCCCATCCACAGGGTGGTCCACCTCCCCAGGAGGTCTGTCTAACGTGATTATGGCACAATTAATTACTCTACCTAATAAGCTTTTGTGTCCTACCTTCTTCAGAGAGCTCTCTTGTCCATTTCGCCGAAGAAGTAGGTGAGAAAAAGCCACACTGTGATTTTAAAGACTGTCAGATGCTAATTACAAGTTACTCCATTTGAAAGATCTCAACGAAAGCATTTTCAATCCCCCTTCCTTTTCCCCAAGCCTCAATCACTGGGGGGGAAAAAAAGCCAATTCTTTGAAAGCTGTGTACCGAACATAACAGTTTTGTAGACAACGGTTAAGAGGTATGCTTTTTCCCAGGGATAGCTAAAGCATTTTACCCCCTCTTGTTACCTTGGTAACTGCTACCTTGGCACCCTTGTTGATGAGCTGAACCACATTCTCCGCTTGGCCTTTGTACGCAGCTATGAGAAGTCGTTCTGAAAGTGCAGCGACCGCATCCTGCTGGCTCATGAATTAGGAGAGAGAGAGGTTTCCGGACAGGAGCAGACACGTCCCTTCAGCTCCACACGATGCCACTGGCCCGGGCACCCACGGGTACAGGTGCTCGTGATCATTGGAAGATGCCTTATTACTATGCCATCTTCAAGACCTAGGAGTTACAAAACAAAGCTTACATCAGTGCCACTCAGCCAAGGCCGGCCACACCCCTTCTCTTGATTTTAGGACATTTCGATGAATCCTGATGGCAGGGGAGGGGAGCAGGGCGAGATAGGACAGCAAGAAAGACACTGTGCACAGCAAAACCCCTGAACTTACAAGTGGAAGGCAGCAGCACGTGCCAACCTCCCTCATTTCTCCCCGCCTCAGGGGATTCTAGATTCTCCAGAGGACTATGGCCAGAACTGCAAGGTCTGCTCTGCATTTCTGTGTGGGGCAGCAGAGGCCTGATAGAATCCCCTAAATATCACCTGGTTTCCAAACCCATCTTGGGCAAGTGGCTGTACTATGTGTGATCACGAAGGGCTTTCTGAGCCACGTTCTCTGGGTCCATCACGGCTAACATGCTGATTCTTCTGGCAGATTAGGTGCCCGTGGATCACATCCCAGAGACCCTGAGGAGTGGGTTCTCCCCTTGGGATTTTGTCCCAGCCTTTACTGCACTTCTCTTCCTCCATCCTTTTCTCACTGCAAATAAGTGCAGTTTTCCGAGTTCTGGAACAGATGGGAAGCTGGGCACAACCCACGGATGCTAGACACACGGATGCCAGGGCATAGCACAGCAAGGAGGGGCTGGTAGTGTAGCTTCCCTGCTTAACAAGAGGGAAATAAATGGCCTACTAAACCACCTACGGGCCCCTCAGAGCAGTTAATACCCCTAGAGGTATGAACACCAGTGGTAAACTTAAGCTTTTCTTTGCACCAAATGGCCAAATGAATAGAATGTTAAACACAGACTCCTCTCAGTAGCCCTGGGCCACCATTACACCAAATGAAAGCCAGTTGTAATTATTTCGAAGGTAATCGGTTCTTTGGGCAATAGGAATGCTTAAGGATCTGATCCATCCTGCTAGGACAGCAAGGAAGTGAGGTCTACTTTGAGTTTTAAAACATACTTATTAAAAATAAAGGTAATCGGTTCTTTGGGCAATAAGAATGCTTAAGGATCTGATCCACTCCTGCTAGGACAGCAAGGAAGTGAAGTCTACTTTGAGTTTTAAAACATACTTATTAAAAATACCAATATGCAAAAGGAAAGAAAATACTGTGCTAAAAGAACACTATTCTTTATCCGAGACTCTACCTGTCATTCTAATTTTGAAGGCCCAAAACATGCACACATCTCTTATAGTTGCTTCCAGGCCTAAACGCAATGATCCTTTTAATCTCTAAAGATTAAGGAGTCGGGCCATGACATGACTGTACCATGCTGTACCTCCCGTTCACCATGACATCCAGGAGACATGGTGAGCGTTTCGTCAGGCGCTCTGGGAGGTTGTGGTTAAATGCTCAGACCTAACACAGACATAACAAGAGGACTGTAGTGTTTTATTATGTGAAAGCATTGGCCAAATGTGAAGAATTATAACTTCAGAAAGAATTCTTCTCTCTCAAACCTATGAATTATCATTTTCTTTGTTGTCCAAAATACCCAAAATGCAGGTTAATAGTCGCAACAGAGAGAAACAGAGAGAAGGAACCCTCACAAGCCATCCTGCTCTGGTCACCAGGCTCATTAGAAGCACAGGACACCTGGAGAAGGGTTACGTGCCAAGGCGGAAACGCCTCCGTTAGCCATAGTCAGAGATCACTGGAATGTGCCAGAAATCTTTGTTGAATGAATGAGCCGATAAAGAATAAAGTAGAGACTCAAAACAGAGAGAAATGAGCTGGAAAAGCCTTTGGAAATCACCAGGGTGGCACTTACTGCAAGACTGTAATTTGGGCTTTATGTTGCCAGACTGTCCCCCTGTTTGGAAGTGGTTTGTTTTTATAAATGTAGGACACATCGTCTCTCTTTATTCAGAGAATGTGTGGTACCTTCAAACCAATTATACTGAGCTTCGGCTCTGTTTGCCCTAACACTGCAAAAGCAGCTCCAGGCCCAAATGGTAGGAAAATACAGAATATTAGCCATGGCTTCCTGAATGATCTCCCTCCCAGAACCACACCCTTCTCCATCTACTCATTTGTTAGCTCTGTGCCCTGGGCCTAAACTGCGACCTTCCCATCTCCAAATCCTTCCTGCAACGGGTATTTGAATGTCTCAAGTACAATGGCCAGGTTCATACAAATATTGTCATCAT